AAAAAAGAAAATGATTTCAAGTTTTTATCCAATGACTAGTTACTAAATAGTGAATTGGGAATAGAAATATATTAACATCCGCCAGAGTTTAATTATAAAATCTAGATATAAAGTTATTTTAGCCCTCAGCCGCTTTTTGTGAGATAAAAATTAAGTCTAGTGTTCAGTTAAATTAACAATAATGGATGTAAAAACTAGACATGTAGATTGAGAACATTTGTTAAAATAATTCCCAAACTATCCTAAAAACGATAATTCGGCAGGAATAAATTAATAAAATACAAAAGAAAAATAACCTGCAATCTAAACATGAACAAAAACCCTCACCGTCTCGCGCTCTTTCATAAACCTGTCTACTTCGTCGCTATTTTCGTCTTCTTCTGTAGCGCAAGATTCCACAATTCGAGTCTTCCGAACGGAAGGTTTATTTGATCTAGTAAAAGTTGTCTGCTGTCCAGGTACCGAAGAATCTTCTAGGCTCCTCGAGGAATTCATATAGTTGTGCGATAGCGTCATATCAGGAAGATCAGAGGCGGGAATTTTCATCAGTCGTTCTTTAGCTGTAGCGGACTGGCTATTAAGTCGTTTTCGGCCATCGGCCTTTGGGTAGAAAGGAAATATCGTATCAATGGCTGTAGGTAAAAACACGTAGTAGCCTGGGCAGCCAGGTATCGGTGCAAAGTGGCGGCGTAGAGTCCCTAGGAAACGGTTATTGAGGCGAACTCTGTGCCCAGGAACGAGTGAGCAAACATAGCTTGATACTTCTTCATCTGTTAGATCTGGGGCGAGGGAGTTAATTGAAACAGGTGTCTTGGCCATCACAAAATTGCTTCGACCTCCATGTTGATCGTTTGCATCAGACAACGCTGCAGCACCACTGCCAATGTCACCAGACGACGGACTGGAAGGACCAGTAAAAGGATTGCCTTCGATCAAATGAGTGAGCCGATCGGGAGAAAGTGACCGCACAAACCGATAACGAGAGTTTTGCAAGGGCCAGAAACAATCAGCGCAAGTGGCGTAAACAAAGTCGACTGCGTTTAAATGGACTGGACTCAAATGTGTAGCAAGCCCTCCCTGATGGCGTGACAACACAACGCGCCACAAGTCGGTCTGACCAAGCGGACATGGTGAAGTAGCTTGGCCAGGGAGACTGATGTATTGTACAAGGCGGCGGTATGCGTTGAACATGA